AATTCAAGTCATATTTTTCAAAAGTTTATTGAAAACTTTCTTTTCGATGGGGTAAAAAATATAATCATATACTAAGCTGATATACTCATAGGTGCTAGCAGTATAGAAGATTAAAAGAAAACTGAAGCAATTTTAAATAAATTAAGGTATGACGATAAATATCGATAAATGAGAGTTAAATTGCAACAAAATATCGTATTTGGGATGCCAAATATCTAAAGAAGGAATTTCATCAGACAATAAACTGATAAATAAAATATCAGAAATATCTACACCAAAATATAAAAAAGAATTAGAACCAATTTTCGGGATGGACCAATTTTTATAGCAAATATCTACTAGATACAGTGACCTAATAGAACCATTTTCAGAATTAGGGAAAAAGAATATAGAATTTAAATGGACTCAAAGGCAAAATATAACTTTTGAAAGTGTAAGAAAGACATGAATAAGAAAACCAATTAAAAAAAAATCTTTGTTCCAAAAAAAGTAGGCAATATTTGATAGGAATGGGATGCCTAAACTTTTGTTTCAGACAATGCGCTAGAATATTGTGAAGAAAGTTTGTACTTGTGGATAAAGCGTATTGGATGCATCTTGTATAAAACACCATCTTACCACCCATAATCAAATGAAATCGCAGAAAGAATAATGCAGACGGTGAAAATGGAACTAAAAGCATTTTCCCCATCTAATGATAATCTAGAGAGTTACTTATCAAGATTACTGTCCCACCGCATTTATGGGTAGACAGATTAGAGCTCCCATAACATTGTCATTTTAAACAAGTGAAAGTATATGGTATGCAAAAAAAAAAACAAAGAACCTAATCCAGAGAAGGTGAACTTTGTAGCACAGAAAGTTTGAAACAAATTAAAAAATGGTGGTATGCCGATAAATAGCGATAAATGGGAATTAAATTGCTACAAAATATATTATTTGGGATACCAAATATCTAAAGAAGGAATTTCACCAGACAAAAAACTGATAAATATAATATCGGAAGTACCTACACCAAAAAACAAAAAAATAAAAATAAAGAATTAGAATTCTTTTTGGGATTGACCATCTTTTATAGCAGATATCTACCTAGATACAGTGACCTGAAAGAAACATTTGCAGAACTACGGGAAAAGAATACCGAATTTAAATAGACTCAAAGGTAAAATATAGCTTTTGAAAATTTAAAAATGTTAATAATAAGAAAACCAATTGCAAAAATCTTTGATTAAAAAAAAAGAAATGAGATTGAATATGAATGCAGGTGAACATGCTTTTGTCGCACTTTTGCAGAACTACGGAAAAAGAATACAGAATTTAAATCAACTCAAAGGCAAAATATAGCTTTTGAAAGCTTAAAAAGGCACAGATAAGAAAAGAGATTGTAAAAATCTTTGATCGAAATAAAGAAGTGACATTGACTATGCATGCAAGTAAACACCCTCTAGCCGAATTTTTATCTCAAGAAGGTAATCCAATCATAAAGCTGTCGAGAAAAAGAATGTCAGCTGAATCTAACTACTCAAATATTGAAAATGAAGCGTTAACAATAGTATGGCGCACAGAAAGGGCTCGAAATCTTTTGTTCGTACGAAAATGTTTGTTAAACTCAGATCATAAACCGTTAGAATTTATATTTAACCGAGAAAGGAGTTACCAAAGGCCATATGTTCTAGAATTTTAAGATGGGCTATAAAATATATGGCATTTGATTTCGACATCTTATACGTAAATGGGGAATACCATTCTATGCGTTGATGCACTATCCAGATTAAATTTCGACAGTAAAATTTAGAAACGTCTACAAATTCAGAAGATATAATACTGTGCTGGCTTGAAACGGAAGTGTTTCCCCTAAATGATCCCAGGATGGGAACCATACAAGATCTAGTGTTAAGTAGAATTTCACCCAGAATAAGAAGAAATATGTGGGGCAGTTGTTCAGTGGCAGAAAAGCCCTACAAAAAATAAAGGCATAAGTTTACTGTAGAGAAAAGCATTTTATGCAATGGAGATTTTATAATAGCCGCACAGTTTACGAAAAGAAGTAGTAAAAGGTGTACTGTTTACGAAAGGAAGTAGTAAAAGGTGTACTGTTTACGAAAGGAAGTAGTAAAAGGTGTACAGTTTACGAAAGGAAGTAGTAAAAGGTGTACAGTTTACGAAAAGAAGTAGTAAAAGGTGTACAGTTTACGAAAGGAAGTAGTAAAAGGTGTACAGTTTACGAAAAGAATTAGTAAAAGGTGTACAGTTTACGAAAAGAATTAGTAAAAGGTGTACAGTTTACGAAAGGAAGTAGTAAAAGGTGTACAGTTTACGAAAAGAAGTAGTAAAAGGTGTACAGTTTACGAAAGGAAGTAGTAAAAGGTGTACAGTTTACGAAAAGAAGTAGTAAAAGGTGTACAGTTTACGAAAGGAAGTAGTAAAAGGTGTACAGTTTACGAAAAGAAGTAGTAAAAGGTGTACAGTTTACGAAAGGAAGTAGTAAAAGGTGTACAGTTTACGAAAGGAAGTAGTAAAAGGTGTACAGTTTGCGAAAAGAAGTAGTAAAAGGTGTACAGTTTACGAAAGGAAGTAGTAAAAGGTGTACAGTTTACGAAAAGAAGTAGTAAAACGTGTACAGTTTACGAAAGGAAGTAGTAAAAGGTGTACAGTTTACGAAAAGAAGTAGTAAAAGGTGTACAGTTTACGAAAGGAAGTAGTAAAAGGTGTACAGTTTACGAAAGGAAGTAGTAAAAGGTGTACAGTTTACGAAAAGAAGTAGTAAAAGGTGTACACGATGATATACATTGCTATATAACAGCGACAAAAATGGGATCAAAATTAAAAGCGTGGTGGCCAGGATATTCTTGAGATGTAGAATACCATGTAAAAGGGTGCCTAAAATATGCTGAAATGAAAAAAAAAATCGGCAAAATAAAATTCATTCGTGGCCTAAAGAAAAAAGAAACATAGGCTCGGTTACACATGTATCATGTCAAAATTAAAGGCATGAAACTATTTTTAATTTTAGTTGACTCATTTTCAGGATGGCCCGTAGAAATTAAGTTTGCTGACAGAAAAGCCATCACTGAAAATCAAAGAACAATATTTTCAAGGAACAGAGTGCCTGTCTCAGATAACGCGCCAGAATTTTGCCAGGAAAGTCTGTGTTCGTGGCTAAATCATACTGGATACGTCCTGTATAAAACGTCACCCTACCACCCACAATCGAATTAAATTACAGAAAGAATGGTGCAGACTGTGAAAATTGAACTTTATAATTATTTATATTATTTTTGTCCGCGTGGGACACTCTTTATATATATATATATATATATATATATATAGAGAGAGAGAGAGAGAGATTTGTGCATGTCTTAGTGGTATAAATGTCTCTCTGAAAGCAAAGCCTTTTTAATAGTAATTACAAAAAGTGATTGTCATTATTATTGAATATTTCTAGCTTTAAGTCAAGGCGAGACCTCTGATTAATACTTAAAAGTCTATATTCTTTCTCATTGTATAGTTCTCATTCAACGAGTTTATGGGTCTGGATGTTGATCGTGTCAAGTCTGGCATCTACCATGTCTAAAGCTTCGATGTGCTGTCTAGTGTGTCAAGGGCAATAACTCATCTCTATTATTTCACTGCTAGGAGAGTGGTTTACTTTTTTTTATACAAATCTATACAGGGCGAGCAGGAAATGGTAACAAAATATTTAACACACTTCTAACTGTCAAAAATGTCAGGTTTTCAACGAGTTAAAGGAATATTTTTTTCAAATTTTGAATCTGGCTTCCTAAACATAGCTTCTCCAGACACAGAAGTATCTCCATATTATATTTAAGGCCCTTTCTTTTTGTTTCTCCTTACACCCTGCTTTGATATATATATATATATATATATATATATATATATATATATATATATATATATATATATCTTTCTCATTTGACTGTTAGGAGAGTGAGTTATTTTTATACAAATCTATATAGGACAAGCAAGACCTGGTAACAGAATATTTAACACACACTTCGGACTGTCAAAAATGTCAGGTTTTCAGCCAGTTAAAGGCAAGTTGCAAAATGTTTTCACCAGGCACTAACAGAAAATACAGATTACTTCATCGGACAAATCAAAGCATCTAATAATTATCAATATCTATTTATTTATTTTATTATAATCCTTTCATCTCCCACGCAAAGCGGGAATGTCATTACTTCGCAGGGGTGGGGGATTCTAGGGATTGAAAGTTAAAGAGGGGAATTGACGGAAGATCAAAAGGTGAACGGGATTTAAGAAGATAGAAGATGCCGATTGACCTTGCATTTAAAGTTTTCAAGATTTTAGTTATCGGGGAAGCAAGTAAAAGGAAAGGGAATTCAACAGGCGGGGTGTGCGAGAAAAGAAACTGTTGGAGTAGAAGTGGTTCTTGCATTTCGCTATTTCAACAGTAAAAGGGTGGGATCTAGATGCCAATCCTGTAGCACGCTTAAATTCATATATTCATGGCAGCAGAGAAAAAAAACTTGTCAGAGCAGTTGCCATGAAAATATCTGTAGAAAAGACAGAGGAAAGTCACGTTACGTCGGTGAGAATAAGAGAGATATTAAGACGTCTGGTTAGTATTGATTACATTACAGATAATTGTACAGCAGGAGCACAAGAGAGTATATGGTAATAGTATTCAATGCACGGACGAATGGTAGATATACAAGATGGATTATGATTAGTAAAACATTCAGGTACAGTGATTCAAATTCCCTTGCAGTAACGCAGCTACTGATTATGTTATGGTCCAGGTTAGGACCAAGGAAGAACAATACGAACACAAGAGTAGAAATAACGAAGGTATATTACACGAAATAATAATACAAGATGTGGAAGGTGTTAGTATGACTGTCAGTCTGGTTTGGAGTGAACTACTATCGACTCGACTCGATTCGTCCCTCTCTCTTGAGAGGCGTAGTATACATAGTGTTAGGAAGAGTTCATTCTGTAGTTATAGGTAAGGGCCCATGACATTCTTCTTCTTCTTCTTCTTCTTCTTCTTCTTCTTCTTCTTCTTCTTCTTCTTCTTCTATGTCTTCTTTTTCTTCTTCTATTTCTTCTTCTCTTTCTTCATTTTCTCTTTCTTCTTTTTCTTCTTCTTCTATTTCTTCTCCTCTTCTTCCTTTTTCTTCTATTTTTCTTCTTTTTCTTCTTCTCTTACTTCTTCTTCTTCTTCTTCTTCTTCTTCTTCTTCTTTTTCTTCTTCTCGTTCTTCCTTCTTCTTCTCTTCCTTCTTTTTCTTTTTCTTCTTCTATTTCTTGTTCCCTTCTTCTTCTTCTTCTTTGTTATGGTCCAGGTTAGGACCAAGGAAGAACAATACGAACACAAGAGTAGAAATAACGAAGGTATATTACACGAAATAATAATACAAGATGTGGAAGGTGTTAGTATGACTGTCAGTCTGGTTTGGACTGAACTACTATCGGCTCGACTCGATATGACCCTCTCTCTTGAGAGGCGTATTATACATAGTGTTAGGGAGAGTTCATTCTGTAGTTATAGGTAAGGACCCATGACATTCTTCTCCTTCTTTTTATCTTTCTTCTTCTATGTCTTCTTCTTTCTCTTCTTCTATTTCTTCATTTTCTCGTTCTTCTTTTTCTTCTTCTTCTTCTATTTCTTCTTCTCTTCTTGTTCTCCTATTTTTCTTCCTTTTCTTCTTCTCTTACTTCTTCTTCTTCTTTTTCTTCTTCTCTTTCTTCCTTCTTCTTCTCTTCCTTCTTTTTCTTTTTCTTCTTCTATTTCTTGTTCCCTTCTTCTTCTTCTTCTTCTTTGTTATGGTACAGGTTAGGACCAAGGAAGAACAACACGAACACAAGAGTGGAAATAACGAAGGTATATTACACGAAATAATAATACAAGATGTAGAAGGTGCTAGTATGACTGTCAGTCTGGTCTGGAGTGAACTACTATCGGCACGACTCGATTTGACCCTCTCTCTTGAGAGGCGTAGTATACATAGTGTTAGGAAGAGTTCATTCTGTAGTTATAGGTAAGGACCCATAACAGATTCGATGTGGTCGATCCACTTCAAGTTAGTTGAAAATATTAGGCCAGGAAGAAAAGTTTCTCTATGGCGGTTAAGTGAATGCAGTTTTGTTTTGGTGGTGTTTAATTTACAAGCCGTTTCTTTCCCCAGTTAACAATTGATACGAGGTTCTTTTCCAGAGGAGCTGTCAGATTTACGTTGTCCTGGAGGATTTGCTATTGAGATACCCGTAAATGGTTGTGTTTATATATTTCTTGTCCAATCTCTAATGGGAAGGGAAGTAAATCGATTTAAAGTAGTAAATTACCCCCCCTTCTAAATGAATGCAATTATAGGAATTGATTAATTGCACGATTCTTTTTACTCGCGATTTAATTTTGTTTAAATGCCGATAAATATTTTTTTGAAGTTTATTAAAACGACAAATGGAATTAATCGGTCTCAAATCGAAAAATATTTCTTTAACCGCGTCAAAAAATATTCACTGCGCGAACGAATTGTAGATTTATTCAGGTGCAAGACAGATTCAGGTGAGAATAATTATCTGGCACGACGCCGTGAAGCAAATTTCTTTGCAAGAATCGGTAACCTAACAAAGTCATATGATTAATGGGTGCCCAGTTGCATTGGCCTTCGTGACAAATATAAAAAAAATGTCTTCCATTGGTTGATCGTTTAGCAGAAAATAAAAGACAAGGCAGATTTTAAAAAGGCAAATTTAAAAAAATATATATTTCAAGAAAATGAACATTAGCAACAGTAAGAGAAATAGTTATTGTTTTGCAAAATTGGCGGTTTCTTTGATTCTTTTCTGATTGAAAATGTAAGAACCATTTTAAACGCGTAGGAATTCCATTGGCCGAACATTTCCCGGCTTTCCTACCAGATTCTTCCGGGAGGATTGTCAGTAGAGGAGAAGGGAACGGCCCGTTGGGATGGATGCTGAAGATGTAGTATCTGTTCCGTTCTGGAGGCCTTCTCCCCTCCCTTGTGCCCCCACCCCCTACTATCGTTGCGTGATAGCTGATCTTATAAGACAAGCTTAGATCAGCGACCCTGGTAGAAACACACGGGTCTCCACGTTAAAAATCGACCTTGTGTCACAACCTTGCTCATGGTGGTGGGGTCAAGTAGAGCTAGCGCCGAACAGGTGAGCAGAGATGAAGTTCTATAGACTACGGTAAAAAAGGGACACTTATCAGGAAGATTGAGTTGAAATTTCTGTGACAGATAATAAAGAAAGAGGCCTGGGAAAATAGGTCGAAAGAGAGACATAGGAAAGCAACGCACAATTGCATGGCGGGCTTGAGTGAATGAATTACGGAGCAGGTTTTAGGGAAATATGTGTTATACCATAATACCTATTCTATTGTAATGGACTCTCCCACAGATAATAAGTAGTAGTAGCAGTGACCAGTTGGGCTCAGTGGTGTTGAGCGAGTCAGTCGATATCGGACATTGAATTACCAACCATCACAACTAGATTGCTGCGTCATTAACTCTTATTTCAAGTTCCTAACGTTTTGCACGTCGAACCTAATTTAGGACGACTTATTGAAATACAAGCCTTCACTGTGTAAACTACTCTACAACATTGGCGACGAGGGATTCGTAATTCACACGGGAAAAGAAAAAAAAATTGTTTATTCTACAACAATATGGCAAAAAAGACAAATGTTATTAAGAACTACAAAGGGCAGGACATTGTGGAGAGCCATGATCCCTAAAGTCCTAAATGGGAACGGCACATACAAGAAGAAGAAGAGGAATTTTTCTACGTTTCTTTAGGATTTAATAAGCAAAATTACAAGAAAACAACATTTAACCGTTTCGTTCGTCGTTGAACTTTGCATTCGGGAGATCGTATATTATTGACCCAAGTAGACATGTTTCAAATTGCATCGTTCAAACTGTCACGTCAAATTACTGAAACACGTTCGCAAGATACGAAACAAACGAATTTCATATATTTCTTATGTTCTAACAAAAAAATTGCTTCCTAATATTCAAATATTAATAATTTCCCCGTGAACGGTTTATATTACTGAAAATAGCATTAATTACTTAATTTAATAATTAATAGACTCCTTGTCATTTCTAAAGTAATTATTATCGCTTTTTCTTCATATCCGTATTACGTGCACACTAGATCCTAAATGTTTCTGTATTCTTGATATTATTACTGATGAAAAATAATCATCTTAATTTTCCTGGCAGGCATAAAAACCAGGATATAAAAGATTGAGAAAGGCGTGATTCTTTCACACCGAATATTGAGCAAAATGTAGCCATTTGTAGGAAACTACTTCCGCCATTTTGAAATGAATGTGGCTTCCGTTCTCTCGATGCAAATTGCTTTCTCTAGCTTCTTCCCGCTCTTGCTTTAGGATATTTGAATGGTCCTAAGTGGCAGGCACGAAGTTGCGGATATGGTGATCGCTTCTTTGTTCCCAACAAGCTGGTCTTGTGAATAGTCTCCATACAAGAACTAATATGAGAGATGTTTTATTAATAAACCGAGGTTATTCGATGCTCTTACAATGTTAATGACGTTCAAATTCCGATCGCGTAATGGCAAAAGAACGGAAAAATGGGAATTAGACATAAGGTTCAAATCGGAAAAGAACTGGACGGCTTATTCTTTCTTTTATGTAACATGTCCCTTCAGGTCGTTGGCGATCATGGCTCTCCACTTCCCCCTATCCCTTGAAACTCTCAATAAGTTTTGTCTCTTTGCTACTTTCTCAGGCTAGGTTTTGTCATCCACTTGCTTAAGCCTGCTATGTATGTCATGCGTTCGTTTCTCTTGTCTCTCTTTTTCTCTATTTGCCTTATGTGTATCAGATTCTCCAAGCCCACCTTTCTCATTACGTGTCCTAAAAATTTCAGCTGTCCCTTCCTGATGTTAAGTATAATCTTTCTTCTTGTTTTCATCCTCTCCAAAATCCCATCGTTGCTCAAAAACTGGTCCATGATATCCTTAGCATCCTTCTGTGGAACCATACCTCCGTTGCCTCGAGTGTCTTCTTCATCTTTGAAGAGACCGTCCAACATTCGCTACCGTAAAGGAGAACATAGTATGTAGCAGTTCTGTGCACTTTGTTGCCAAAGAAATTCTCCTCTTTCGTTAATGTATTTTTCCATAACTCTTAATTGTTTTGAGATATATATTTGACTCTAGAAATAAATAATTTAATAATTAATTTATATTATATCTGAGAATATTGTAGCGTTGCAGCTCAGACCAGACATCAGATTAATTGACAGGTTCCAGCTTCTTTCAGTCAAACGAGCATGACTTAAATTTACTCGTCGGCCAGATAGTTACCCACGAGCAGTAAAGGAGATTTTATTCTTGGGTTGTAACAGACTGCAATAAGCGAGCCAAGTAGAGATTAGGTGTAAGTGTGGTGGGAGGTGCACAGTTTAGCGACCGTCTAACGTGTTGTTTCTGCTAGAACCGCTTCGTTCATTCTGTGAGCACATTCGCGGGATCGTCAGTTTTATAGATAACTATTTTCTTTGTCTTGTTATTTTCGTCTAAACATGCAATTAATTGATTTTCTCTCAGTCTGAATCTCTTGCTCTTGTACATTGATTTTGACTTCACTTAGTGATAACCATCGGTCAAAAGTAAATATTTCCTATCTTGTTTTACGACAAGTGCGCTGTTTTTAATAAGATCTCATCTGACTCATATTACTACATTATCTAGAGAAAGAAAGCAAATATTACGCTCTCGAAAACGGGGAATATTGCGGGAGAATTAAAAAAAAATTAAAGTAGCCATAGGTGTCGTCTTTTCGACTATTTGCTCAAGTCGAGACAGTATCTCTGGGGCATCACTTGATTCTTGAGAGAATATGGATCTTAGCCAGTGGATTTTTTTATGCATATAGATGCGATATTTATTCTAATTATATTAGGCAGTAAGAGAAGACGCGAGGATTTACTAAGATTGAATATTTCTAGGGAAAAAGAAAACAGAAATTCGTCTTCAATATGTCCTGAGAATGTCACATTCTATAAGCCCTCCTTTCTCTTTAATTGCCTTAGAAATTTCAAATATCTCTTTCTAAATCTAAGTGTATGTGTCTTATTTGTTTCAGGGTTCTCTAAAGCCTCGTCGTTGCACCCATGTTCAAGCCATGGTATTCTCATCATCCTTAGGTAGGCTCCTGTTTCTGTGGTTTTCAGGAAAAGAAGGAAATTTTTCAATAGAACATGATGGTGAACCGAAAATATTTGGTAATTTTCCGCCTGGAAGGGAACCGTCTGTCTGTGTGAGATAAGTGCATGTCTATATAATCCACCCTTCTGGCCATATCCTGTTGAATACAAAGTTTCTCGACTGATCTCTCATGTTAAGCCTGATCGAAGGTAGTCAGTACGTAGATGGGTAAACGACTGGAAATACCAGTTACCGTAACTTGAAATCAGGAACTTGAAACAAGTCAGGGTTGGAAGACAATCCCTCTCAGAGGACGCAAATGGTTAACCGATTGGGATTACCAGATAAAAATACTATTTGCATAGGCTATTTGGGCCACTATCTTTGTGGCAACCCTTAGTCTTGTGAGACCCTTAATATGATCCTAGAGATTTTTCATACAGCTAGACGTTAGAGCGCTGCACCCATGTTTTTAGCGATTGGGTGTATGCTTATAACCAGCAGATACTGTTTTCTGTGTTTTACACTTCAGCGTGACACGGCGCTGCAGTGTTTTCTCCAAGGCACAGAGCTAAGATTGGTATTTTAATGGGTGATCAAGATTTATTCATAGATCACATTTCCCC